AGCTGCACACGGGGCCGGAGCTGCACACGGGGCCACAGCAGGGGTCAAGGCCGCACGGGATGGTGTGCGACGTTGGGAGGGCGCGGAGGCAGAGCCGAGGCTGCAAGCAAAGATGGTGCTGAGGCAGGGCGGCTACACACAGCCAGGGACTGCATGGAGGCTGCAGGCAGCTAGAGAAGGCAGCGGACACACAGAGGCAGAGACGACATGGAGGCTGCACGCAGCCAGAGGTGGTGCTGAGATGATGCAGAGGCTGCATGCAACTGGAGATGTTGCGGAGGCTGCACAGAGGCTGCATGCAGCCAAACAGGGCATTGAGGTAGAGTGAAGGTTGAATGCAGCCAGGGACAATGTGGAGGCTACGTGGAGTCAGCATGGAGGCAGAGATGCTCCTGAGGTAGCGCAGAGGTCATGTGCAGCCAGAGATGGCTTGCAGGCTTAATGGAGGCTGCATGCAGCCAGCAAAAGTGCTGAGGTAGAGCAGAAGCTGCACGCAGCCAGAGACGGCATGGAAGCTGCATGCAACGAGAGACGGTGCTGAGATGGTGCAGAGGTTCTATGCAGCAAGAGAAGGTGCTGAGTCTGCAGCCCAGAGACAGCCCCAAGGCAGGGCAAAGATGGGACACAGCCTAGAAATATTGCTAAAGGCCCAAGAGAACCCAAGGATGACTGTGAGGCAGCATGGAGGAGATCTGAGTGTTGAGGAGTGATCCCAGCTTGAGCCTCCTGCCCCATAGGCAGGCTGAGTATCACAGGGATTTCAGAAAGACCAGCATTGGTTTCGTCTATGCTAAACAGCAAAGGGTAAGTCAGGGAACAAAAATGATGAGAAAGGGCAGGTTCCCCTGACCCATGGTCTTTATGTCTTTATTTTTTTTTGGGTCCTCTGAGACAGCCACTGTTGAGCAATTTGAGGGTCTTGCTTGGCAGACACTGTTCACTTGTGGTTTGTTGGCTTTATCAGCTTGCTCTACGTTTCTTTCCATATCCTGCCAGTTTCTGTGTAGTTCATTGCTGCAATGAGGTGTTGATAGCTGCTGGGAGGAATTGATGTTAGCCTAGTGTTAGCCCTGTATGTGTGCATGGAGCCTCATGCTGCTGGGTTTTACTGGGCATGAGCCTCAGCTTTGCTCTGGGAGCACGTAACCTGTGGTGTCTTGAGACCGTAGCCTGTGGGCTGTCTGAAACTTTATTGTTTTTTTTCCAATTGGCAATACTGGGTCAGCATTTCTATGTGAAAATCTCGGTTCAAAGATACCTGTGCAGATATCAGCTGAACGCTTCCAGACTGCTGAGTTGCTGTGAAGTTTCTGATTCCTATGCTGGTAGTGGCTTCCAGCCTGTGGCAAAGAACATCGGAAATGGGACTCTTCTGACTGCCAGTAAATGATAAGTATTGTGGTGCCAAGTGATAAGTGGCATCTGGTGCCCTGTGTTTGGACATGACACGGAGCAGTGGATTGGGTCAGATGATACTGGGCCTGTTGCCTATACCGACTAGATAGAAAGCTATGTAAAGTAGCAATGGTCCTATATCCTGGCTGGTTTTCATCAGCTGGATCATATAGGCTGAAGTGCTATAGGGCAGCTTAACCTTGACTGTGGGGTCAGCTGGTGGTTCTGATGTCACAGGGTGATACCCAACGAAGCATCCAGAGTAGAAGGGCATGTTTGATTCGCAGGTCTATGCTGAACTCAAGTGTTTTGTTTTTATCTCAACATCTGTTGGACAATGCAGCAAGCCCCAACCTGCTTCTTAGCAGTTGCAGGCTGCTTTTATCTCAGTATTTCAGGGACCACCCATATAATTCCTAATGCTTCTTGGTCACTCAACTGATTCTTTGTGTCCCAAAGGAGTTAAAACTAGAGACATAAAGAATCTAAGCAATTGTTTAAATCAAATGGTCAGAACTGCATGAATCAAGCTGCTAAACTAAGCATCAGTTTCGCACAAACCTTAGCCATTGGGTTTCAGTTTCCTCTTTACCCTGATCATCACCTTATGGAAAGATTCATGTTTCATTTTGCTTTCATACCAACTGAAATGTCAAGCCTATGGGAATATGGTTGGAAGAGCAGTTGGTTTTTGTTTTTGTTGTTGAAATACAGAAGGGACTTGTACTACAATTCTGGGAAGGGATCTGTAGATTCTGGAATCTGCTTTTCCTGAATTCTGATGGCTTTTGATTCTGATTGGCTCTTTTTTTTTCCCGTGTAACCCTGGGAAATAAAGATCAACATTTGACTGTAGAGTGTAGAAGAAAAAAAAAAAAGAGAAAAAAGAACATTGATTCTTGAGAATTTTTCTCTGAAAATGTGGAGACTGGTGTTTCCCCATCCCCTCTCTTTCACATGATTATGAACAAAGTGCTGTATTCACAGAAGTCAGAATATGACCAGAACCTTGTGTTTAACTGACTTCAGGGCACACATCTACAGTTACCTTGGTGTATGAGTGAGTAACTTCAAATGTGATCATGCCGGGTGCTTGTTTAGTTGTTTCTGTTACTTGAAGAGCAGGGAACTGATGCCAAAATAGCATGAGCTCATGAGACATCAGTGAAGGAGGAAAAGAGCGCAAGTGTTTCTGGAAGGGGGAAGGTGTAACAGCAACTGGAAGATGAAGAGAGAACCCAGTAGGGAGTGGTAGAATAAGAGGACCCATCACTGGAAGCTTAAGAAGTTAATGACAGGCAGTTAGGGGTGTTATGGGGTTTGCATGGACCCAGATTGTCGATCTCATCTGTAAAAGAGCTATAAATGAGACCAAGGCTAAGGTGAATCGTGCTTTGTTCTCGTGGCTCCTGATGTCACCAGCAGTTCTTCATGGAATTACAACTGCCTTGCTCGCACTCACCTGTGAATTGCTCTGTATTAAGTTAACAATAGTAAATAAGCTGCATATTAGATTTCATGCTGAACTATTCATACCAAATGAATTCATCTCTCCCACAGGCTGCTCTAATTTAAAACATATGTATCTATTTAAATCCTGTTGCTTGCTATATATTAATCTACTGTTCAGATTTTTGCCTCATCAGTGTCTTCACCATTTTGAACAGATGCGTATTTTGTTGTGGGTTTGAATTGTATAGATTATTGTGAGTTTGGATCAAAAGTCTTCTCTTTTTTTTTTTTTGTGTGTGTGTGTGTGTGTGTGTGTAAGATGGAGTAGTAGAAATGAGATGCAGTATAACTGCATTATACAGTATTTACACTTGTCACTTTAAGCCGATGCAAAATGCTTCATCTGCTCCTGTACAGTGAAAAGCGTCATTAAAATCAAAGGAAACTTGCTTTGATTGCAGGGAGGATGGGGCCTTTGGTTAGTCAGGGGCCTGACTGAATGCAACTGAAGTTGGGAGGACTGTTGTATGGTACTGTATTTACCTCTGTGTTGCAGAACACAGAGTTTTCAATATCTCCTAAGAAGAAATTAAAAGGGGAGCCCACTTTCAGACTCCAAAGACCATATTTAGGCATCTAAATGAGCAGCCTTTTTTTTTCTTCACAAATGCTGAGCACTGCCAACCCCCACTGCTAACAAGCCACTTTGCAGGCCAAACATCATTTGACTGTATGTTCTTGCAAAGAAATACTAAGAATATGCAGTAGGTCAAAGTGGCTTTTTATCTTTGTGCAGAGATAAGGGCTGCTGTTCCTCCTAGGAAACAGTGTCTTAGAAGCGGAAGGCTGCACTTCTTATCGTTCAAGTATGTGCCATAAAGGGGTAAAAATAGGGACATTGAGGATAAGAAAGCAGAAAGCAAGGCACCTGCTACCCACAGAAGGAAACTCAGGAATGAAATAAGAGTGAGAATCTCGACTGTTTTGAGTATTGCAAACCTTCACTTGTAAGAATAGATAATCTGTATTAAAATGATCTGTAAAAGCCTCTGGAATTGCTGACAAGAAAATGCTTGCAAGATTTACCCCTGGATTTACCATGCAGCATAAATTTGTTTTACTGAGTTTTACAGAAGTTGAAAATGTCAGAGCTGGATGAGAGAATTGCATTCCAAAACCTATTAAACATTTACAGGACATTCTGGATCCTGTAGTTTGTTCTGAAAATCCTTCTGTTTGTGATGTGAATGGAACTGATTTAACAGAAAAGTATATTTAAGCTATTCACATTGTATCACTGTCTGACATCAAATAATGTGTGTTTTTTTCAATCTCAATATTTTAATCCAGCATTCAGCCATGATATATAATGGGTATTTACAATGATAGCTTTAAACATCAGCTCTTTAAACATCAGTTTTCCTTTAAACAAGCAGCAGCACCAACCACCACCAGCCTCCTGCCCTGCCCCAAAGCTTGTTTGCAAGAATTTTCATTTACATCACTAATGTACAGATTTACACAGCGCAGAAAACGGTCTGTTCTTGCTCTCTGGGATGCTGCCTTGGGTACTACCTGCAACCACATTCTGCCACTTTCATCCCTTCATAGTTATATATCAAAGTGGGCACACCAGCATCATCCTTATAAAGAATGGAGATTGAATCCAGTTTGGTTGGAACACAGCAGGCCTTGGAAGCTTTCTTTGGGTTTTGGAGGTGCACCAGAGTTTGGACGATAGCATGTTTTGTTGGGGTAACGTTATCTGTCAGAGGGAAGAAGCAGCCTCCTTTACACTCAAAAGCCTCATAATCTTTGGGCGCAATGATCCAGGAATCCCAGCCGATCTCCTCAAAGTTCACGTGGAGGGAAGTTCTTCGGCAGTGGTTGGGTCTGGTACTTCTTTTGCTTCTGGAGGAATGGTGGTGGGGCTTGGCAATGGCCTTTACCTCCCTCTCATCTTCCTCTTGAGGCAGGGTGTTGTTCTTCGCTAACTTCCTTAGCACGCTGCCTTGTTCATGAGCAATCATCTCCCGGAGCTCCACTTTGGTCTCTTTTGTCCCATTGCTGCGATCATTGGAGAACACTATTAACAGCGGCAGATTTTTAGTGTCTGGAGTGACACTGATGTCTGGCTTCCCGCATGTGAAACCACCCAGAGCTTTACTTTCTATAACAACCTCCAGCTTGTTTTTAGTCTTCTGTTTGTCTGTCCTGACCCACCTTTTCACAGCACTGGACACTTCAAACATCTCCCAGCCACACTCCTGGATATCATGGGAGACAAGGAAAGATTTGGTGCTTTCTTGATTTTCCCAGTGGTCTCCGTCTAGAACATCATAAATGACCATGTTGCCTTCCAGTCTAGAGAGAGACCCAACTTCCCTGTGACAGGAGATATAAATTCTCAATTCAGCTCTGGTGATTTCCTCATATCGTGGAATAGAGATGTTGAAGAGCAAGATGTGTTTCTGCAATGGATTTTCTTCTGGTGTTGCTAAAGTAACAACATCTGCAATAGGAAATTAAAACATATGGTTACAGTGCTTCTGACTGCCCTGGTAACTTGATCTTTAAAGATGCAGGAGTAAAAGACACCACAAAGACAAGGGCTCCCCAGAACTTACTTAAAAAAAAAAAGAAAAAAGAAAAGGTTTCTGGTAAGATTTTTAGGGGTAGGATGTAAAAAGTCCCTGGTGTTGGGAGTGTTTCGCCATGCCTGCATAGTCAGGCATGTGGATGAGTGGAAGGGAGCATAAATATTCTGCCCAGAAAAAAAAATGGGGGGCACTGTTGTCAGTAGAAGGCACAGAATAAGACATCTACAGAGTATTTACATTAAGCAATTTTCTAGAGAAGTTTTACCTAGAAGAATTCCTAAAAAAGCTGTGTATTTCCTACATTTATCACAATGCTCTCAGGTGACCTGACACCAATGGACAAGGGCCCCTCGGTACAGAGGAGGGTCTCTATATAAGAATTATCAGTGATGAGGCTTTTGTTGTTTTCTTCCAATAACTTTGAGAGCATCTTGGGTTATTGGGAGCTAGAGGAAACATAAATGCTTTGAAAAACTCAAACTTGAAGCTTCACGGTCTAAAATGGGACTGGGTGATACTCAGACTTTCATGCGTTGGTCCCAGTGGCCCAGTTGGTCCCAGGCCAGGCTCCCTGGGCTTATGCAGAGCTTTATTCTCCCAAGGTATGAGCACTACCAGCAGTTTGGCCTGGGGAGAGGTGGTGGTTTTACTGGAAGACCAAACTAGTAGTGTTTAAAAATCATCACTGACTGATGGCTGTTTGATGGTCAGTTATCATGGGATTTTAGGGCAATTTTAATTGGCTGCTGTTGGCACTTCACAATGTTTATCCACTAAAGCAGTTAGAGAGGAGAGTGGGGTATGGAAACTGTACTCTAGTTTGTACTGTTACAGCTCAGGTTCTGGCCAGCTTAGGTTTTGGAACACTAATTTGGGAGCATGGATATCACTGTAGTGCTGTTGCTTTATGTATTTTTTAAATGAACAGCTTTGATTTTTCTTCACTTCTATCGCAAGGATTGCATCTACTTACAACTTTTTATTGCTTCTTGTGATGAAGCTTTATTTTTAAAATATTATACAGAGATCTGTTTTTTTTTTTTTAGTTGAAACAAGCTTGAAATCCCCTCTGCATCTAAATCTGCAGGCACAAGAATGGGGGAACACTAGTGTTCCTTGTTTGGAGCCAGGAACACATTTAACAGTTGCATGGGGTGTTTATAAAGGACGAGGGGAACTCCCTGGAAAGAAGAGCTGCCAACTGTGAAATTCTCAGTTGCAGGTGATCAAAATGACCATTCTAACATTAAAACTCAGTCCAAAACTCTTAACTTTGGGAAACACCATTTATCTAACCCTTGTTACTCACTACAGTGTCTCAGTGCATTTGAGAAAGAGATATTGTATGATGAAAATATGAAAGAAGTAAACTAAAGATAATGGTATTTTTTAAAGATTGAAAGAAACTACAGAGCAAGACTGCAATCCAAAATTTTAATCTATTTTGTTTCTAAATAATCCGTGGGAGTTAGGAAAACAATTCCCTCTGAATTACAAAGGAATCTGAGTACCTCTTGTTCATATACTTCTTTAAAATTCTGGTGTATGTATTTAGGACATCTCCTACCTTCAGTACTGAAGCTCCTCACAATGTTGGATGCAGGGATGGAGGACTTGTCTGCAGCATATCTGTTATATAAATCAATCATGAACTGTGGTGGTTCTTCTTTGGTCTTCTCTTGTGAGGGGACCTTTGATAAATTCAAACTCCTTAGTAAATCCATCTTCATATTCTCCAGGAAAGCTTTAAAGTCGACGTGGGTCTCGTCTTCCACTTGCCCAGGATCACGAAAGGGTGCATCGGATTTTCCCAGAGCTGGTGGCTTGTCCCAGTCTTTCAGAGGCTTGCCTCTTGTCAAACAGGCAATTATATTGAAAACAGACAATGCAGCTAGTACCCCAAAATAGTGCATTTCTTCTATATTTACTTTCTGATGAAGAGACAAGAGGACAGTTGTATTTTAAATGATGAAAACTCCTGTTTCATTACAGGCAGAGGAAACTAGATGGACGGCAGACACTGGGAATGGGGATGCCCTTTGCAGATCACTTTCTTGAGTCCTTTTGCAGTCCGCTTCAAACCCCAGCCTCTTGTCAGTTGTCAAGCAGATTGGTTGTACACTTGCCCTTATCTGAGTCATTGATGCCATGCTTTAGCTTCTGTTATCTAGCAAAGCTCTTAGTTAATGAAGATTCTATAAACATCTGACAAACACATATGCTGGTGGGAAGGACACTGTATATTGTAAAGAATCCACATTTCACTGTAGGGTCATCATTGCTTAATTACACTCTTTTATCATTTCCTTGCCAACACAGAGAAACTTTCTTAGGGACGTGAAGTATTATTCTGTTTTCACCAAGACGAGAAAAATGGGATTTAGAACAAAATTAGCCTCTCAGCTCTTTGTGAATAACACCTCACAAATCTTTGTTACAGCCCCTTCATATACCATCAGAAATCCTCCAGTCATCTGATGGAGGCCTGTGATTCTGCAAGACATGATCTCATGACAGCACATACAACCTTAAAATTTCTTTGCGTTTATCAGCAAAGAGCTGTTATTTGTACACAGTGGAATATCTGTTTTGTGTCAAGTTTGCTTCATGCTATGTGCAGGCTTTTCTATTTGCAGTTTGATTCCTTTGGTGGTTGGGAAGTCAGTCTTATTTTTATAGCATCTTAGGTCATTTATTTCTTATATTCTTATATATGAGATTGTTGGCCAATTCAGGCCAAGAACACACAATTTTTATTCCAGTGACCTGAGAATGAAGACAGAAGTAAGACTTCTAAGCCTGTATAGAAGTTAAAAGGTCTGTATGAAGATACAGAAAATTATCTGTGAAGATAACTGTTACTCATGTGAAGTATGGGCCAAGACAAAAATATAGAACTGACAGAATTTCTCATGCAACAAGAAAGGAAACCTCTGGTTTATTTATAGGCAAAAATATATTTTGTATTTATCTTACTGAATCTGCTATGAATTAATCCAGTGATACTTAGGTGTTTTATCTGAACTGTAAGCGTATCGTTCTTTCTAAGCACAGCCGACTGTGCTGCTAGATCAGAATGATATTGTGAGCTCTTACATTACTGAAATACTCACTGCAAAGGTACAGAAAAGATTTTGCCACGTCTATCTCAGTGCTGGTCGTTCTCTTTCGGGTTTTTAGAAGTGCACACTGAGTGGTTCAAGTGAAACCATGCTATTTAGATACTCCTGTTTCTGTTTGATAATGGTGATCCCAGATTTTGGTTAACTATGTTTCTATGGCATGAGGTCAGAAAGGACTATTTGTCATTGATCCTAATTTCCTAAATCGCAAGGTGGCTGTGTTTCTCTCAAGGATTTTGTATTTTCTACTGCTGACAGAATAATTTCCTATCCATTACTTTTGTTTGGCTAAACATCTTTTGTAAAGCTCTCCGGGATTTATGTGAAGATGTAACAAAAATGGAGGATTTCTTGCAATTTTGTGGCATATATTCTGAAGAATTTTCACTGTCACTTAAAGAAAATAGTACTTACCATATCATTGTGCCTGGCCTCACCTGCTAGGCAGTAGCAGATGTCTTGTATTTCCTGCCTGTTTAAGGAGACTCATAGTGCTGGCATTTTCTCAGTTTGCTTTTAGTGAAAATAAGCAGCCTGTGCTTTTTAAGTCATATACTGTTAGGTATTTTCTCTGGTTTTGGTACTCTTTTTGTAGCTCTTCTAAGTTTCAATGCCTTTTTGAAAAGGAGAACACTAGGGCTCTGCATAGTTTTCTAGTGATAGTCACTAGTGCCACATGTAGAAATGAAACCCCCTGTTCTGCGGTCACTACTCCGCTATGTATCTTTCCAAAGCCTTGGCAACTCTCTGTACGTAGCAGCACGCTGGCCGCTCATGCTGCACTGTAAGTCCTAAACACCCACCCAAATTGTCCCAGGAGTTAGGGCTTTCAAGGTCATGCTCTTCTACTCGGTAGGAACAGACTCCATTGCTTGTGCCCAAGTACCAAGCTCTGCATTTGTGTCTACTTTGAAATGGATTTTGGCTAAGTAGAGTGCAGCCAGATCTAGTACTCTGTATGAATATCTCTCTCCTGAGCAGTGTCTTCTGCGAATGCCATTTGGGTTATTGTATTGACTTCCAATTCATATATGAAGATGTCAAATGATGTCAGACCAAGTGTCATCTTTGCAGAAACTCTGCAAGTAGCAGCTTCTTCTGTTGACAGTTCCCTTCCAAAAGCTGCTCTTTGAGATTTGGCAGTGAGACAGTTCTTAATTCATGTGATATATTAATTCATGAAACACAGTAATATTGTCCAGCGGTCTCTCTTAATTATGCTGCCATGTACATTTGCGTCAAAATAATCAGCAAAAGCCTGGGTAACTCCTTGCTGTTGTAGTTACCTTTAGCAATTACGCGGTGACCTCCGAGAATGAAACTGATTTTGCATTAGAAAAACACTTTCCATAATACTGTACTGGCTAGCATCAACTGTGGGTTTTTTTTCCTCTTTAGTTTCTCATATTAATATACCCTCAATTCTTTTAAGATTATTTAATGGATTTTTTTTGACTTACTAATTTAAGTATTTGTCCATAATAACTAAGTAACATGAAGATTGAGTGAAATGGTTTCTAGGATGCTCCTAGAAATCAATAGATCTGTTGGAAGAGAGGAAGCAAGTGAGGATATCCCTGTATTGCAACTGCATTTCTGCCATTTAGAGAACAATTTAAATCAATTAAATGCAAAGGTGTCTCTCCTAAAGGCATAGATTAGACATCTAAATATCAAAGCCCTAAGAAGTAGTAACCCCTTCTAAAGAAATAGAGGTTAAGGCCTTGTCCACATTAACGTACATGGAGATGAGAAAAAAAAATAGAAACATAAGAGTTTGCTTCTCTAAGTTACACTATTTCTGTGAGTAAAA